TTTCGTTTTATCCCACAATAGAACAATTAAATAATTAATTAACTCCTTAATTCTATTTAATTTCTGTAATCCAGCTGTCAGTTATCACATCTAATCGGAAAAACCATACATTCAAACTGATGGATTGGCGTTGCATGGATCGCAGCAACGTTGAATAAAAAGACAGCTCTGTCAGTTTATCACTGATAGACTGATGAAAAAAAAAAAACAAAAAAAAGACAGGTAGATACCTCACCGATGCTAACGTTGCTGCAACAGTTGGATAAAAAGACACACATTATTTGTTCACCGAATTTTATATTGTTTTTAAACTTTTATAAATATATTCAGAGAGTAAGTAGAAAACATTCATCAAGTATAGAATTGTTTGGTAACCAAATACATACCTTTAAATTATTTTTATGATCTTCAAACAATACCTATTTAGAAAAACTAAAAACAGTAACAAGGTGTATGTCAAATAAAATATTTAGGTATTTAAAAGTTTAGTTAGAAGTTAACTGACAGTGGAATCAAAATTGTCACACTAATGTGGCACTTGTTATGTAAGTAAATTATTTTAAAATAGCTGGAGATCTAGAGAATTGCATTTTATGCAAAAAATAGACATAAAAATACGCCAAAAATTAATACAAGCCATCAGGCCAGAGAGTGAAAATAAACTAAAAGAAAAATAAAGTTGCAAGCCCAGTTTACTACAATAAAGCAAGACTGAAAATATGACAATCTTGCAAGTGTAAAATTCAAATTCTTTACGTCAGTGCAGAGTGGCGTGGACATGCGCATTGAAAGGCCCCCCTTAAAGTACAAGAATAAAGATTAAGAGTACCAATTTTTGTTACCCTGGATGAAAAATACTTGAGTAGTCAAATAAAATATAAAAATCTACGACCATAACGATATTGTCAGAAGTAGCAAATTGAACGAAGTATTTAAATTGAGGATGTTAAATATATAAGGAAGTGGACTTACTTTTTCTGCAGATGGGACAGGGGTACCTCCTCTTCCTTTTTATCTTGCCAACTTTCTTACGAGCATGTTTCTTTTGTGGGGAAAGTTCTTGTGCTTGCTTGCTGCTACAAGGCTGGTCATAATAGTCTATAGTCTCATTTTTTAAAGTAGGTAGATCACATTGTGCCGTTAAAAGTTCATCCACATTTATATCGAATTCAGGATTTTCCCGTTTAATACTGACGATATCACTAGTATTCACAAAATAATCAGATGCTGTAACTTCACAAATATCGTTCAAGGAACTTTCTAGAAGGGCTTCAACTTGTGGTTCCTGCCTGAGAATTGGAACTGCCCCCATTGGTGATAATTGAGAAGCCCAATCATGTTCGACTTTTATGATATTTTCTGGATTAATAAACACAGGTTCTTGCTTAATTATTACGGTTTCTTCAAAAGAATCTACCGGTTCTTGTTTCACCTCCATTTTGCGTTCTTTTATGATTTGACATCAGTGTTGCCCAGGGTTGCCAACTTTTCAAATTCCATTTACCGTACCGCGCAATTCAAATTACCGTTTAGACGTCTCTGGTTTAAGCAGTTTAAAGTACATTTGAATTTAAGAGTATTTTGTGAAAATTACTTGAAAACTCAAGTAATAATCGAATATCTGATTAAAATTATTGTTATTCTTCCAATAATAAAATTTTTAGATGGTTTCTCACATGAGAAAATTATTTTCCTTCTTGTTTACATGACTTTTTATTTCCCATCGATGATGATCTTTAAACGGATTCTTCTTCTCTTTTCTCATCAGTACTAAATTATTTTTAAATATAAATTTTAAACTAGTTTTATTATTCAAATTCGTACTTTTAAAATTTCATTACCAGCTTGAAAACACCTCAGAATAATTCTATTTGATGCGAGAAACTCTCAAATATCCTTGAGAAACACATTTTATCACTCGCGTATCGGGGACAACACTAATCATTTGTAATTGCTGTGGTGGGAGGTGTTTATTTGTGTGAATGCGTCTTGTTTGTTTTCATTTACGCCGCGACTAGCAGTAGTATTTTATAAACCTTAGAAGCAAATTTCACATACATGAACAAATATTAATAATAATGCCGTGACAACAAGAAGACGAAGCAACGACTTCTCGTAGGGTGGGGGCTTTGCCGCCACCTGCAAATTTTAATCCATACCTGGCTACGCCGACCGGCATAAACACCAACTGCCTGAACACAGCTCACCTACTCTGTCAAAAGGAGACCGATGTACAAATAAAACGCGTACGACATGCGCACTACAATCTTCCTAAGATCCAATGACATTTGTGGAATAGTCCCGTTCATATACGAGTAAGTGACCATATTCCAATTATAAGGTCTCCGTATTTTCCAAAAATAAGGAAATACATACAGTATTCTTGTTTAGCACTATTTCTTACCAAAATATTAATGTGCATGCTTAGCTGTCAAAATAAGGATACCGAATTTGATCAAGACTTTGGCGATAACTCTCTACTGACTTTGGAGCATAGATAAATTCAAATAATTTATCTATGCTTTGAACCGTATACCGCACATTAATCGAAATTACCGTACAAGTACGGTAATTACCGTACGATTGGCAACCCTGGTGTTGCCAGAATATATTTATGTTATGTACCAGATTTGTATGAGAAATGTACCAGATTCCATAAAAATGAACCAGATTCTATAAATTGTGCGATATTTTTCGAATTGTGGTTTGGTTCAGAAGAGCAATAAAAAAGATTTTATTAAAAACGAACACAAACAAGGAAGAATCCAACCATACATTATTTTACCCGTTAAATGGAAACGGGTTGAAAAAAGTAGAAGTACTAGATTTAGCTTTGAGTGTACTAGAGTATCAGATTCTTAACGCGCGTATGCACCGTACACGTTTAATCCAGATCAAGGGTCTAATCGCGTTTAGTACCATATTTTGTTATGGTACTAAACTCGATTAAACCCTTGATCTGGATTAAACGTGTACGGTGCATACGGGCGTAAATAATGTACAATATCTAGTACAATTGTACTAGACTGGCAACACTGTTTGATATTTGACAGCGTTGTTTGATTTTTCTAATTGGCCTCTTATCTGTCGACATCCTGCTAACATTATTTAAAATTTTTACGAGTTACCTCTTATTAACAGGATAATAGTAAATTGCTCATTTTTATTTCAAACCTATTACTTTTCAATTATCTCTCGTATACTTTTAAAATTTTGTACGTAGTTTCAAACAACCTGTACAAACCTAAGGGCTAATACTTTATTGTTCATCTCACTCAGATGTATATAAATAACATTTTCCGTTTCACAATCTGGTGGATCAGGTTTGTTAAGAATGAAATAGAAAATGGTTATTATAATTATTCTCGAGTGAGGGAGTTAGATGACCATAGAATTACATCTCAATCCAATTAACAGGCATTCAACCTAACCCTCACTCCACTTCATTGATACGGATGCAAAGCAATGGCCTTACGACCTATATGCATATGTTCCATATACAAAATTTATTTACACGTCGTTTATTATCATGCGAGCCATTTTCGATCAGTCTGGTCAAGCTCTTTAAGTCCCTTATTTGGATCTTTTGCAGCCTCCATATTTACAGTTACCAAGAATATTCTTTAGATTAAGTCAACCTTCAAAACCCTCAAGATACCCCAATGGGCATGCCAATTAGTCAAAGAAACCATAAGGTCTACTAAGTGATATTCTAAATACCGAATGCACCAGCCTAATAAAGGATGGATCCACCAATGTATGTTCTGGCCAACTCTTAGTGGGAGGACGTCCAGAATAAGTCTGGAGCGTAACATTTGTATATAAATAGGCTGTTTTGCTGTTGTAGTAGGTAGTCAGTTTTAGTTAAGAGATCGTTCTGTTCAAATAAATGTCAATATAAATAGTGCATTAGTAATAGTAGTTTGTGCAACAAGAGTGGATCTGGACAATCCACTCGAGTTGTACAGTATATTTTTTCTACGACCCACTTACGAAAATCTACAAATTATTTATGACTTTTACTAATTTATAAAATAAAATAAACATAAAAAAAACCATTTAATTGTATTATTCCCCAGCCGAGAATCGAACTCAGGTCTCACGTAGAAGACAGACACCGTCTCCTCGACTCCACCACCAGACTTGGAGTTTTAGTTCTAACACTCGTAATTAAATTAGTTTCATTGTTTGATTAAAATTTTAAATTTATTTAAAATGTGGACGAAACAAAAATAGAAATTCTACACAAAAATAACCGATTTTAATGTATATTTAATCTCAATAACTAAAAAATATACTGTCAATTAATTTGACAGAATTGTCACTCACTTAAAATTTTAAAAATAATAGTAGTTGGGTGACCAAAATATGAAATGTGGATTTCATTTTTTTGCTGTGTCCTCAATATCTAGAATGGATATGAAATATATTCGTTGAGCGCAATAGCATACTTTTTCGTTTTGTAGTCTGTACGTAGATAAGCTAATATCCATGTGGGTGTAGAAAATATTTTTTTTTCACCCGTTCAGGCCTCTGCTCTCCCCCGAGGATTCTGGCAGATCCCCCAACTCAGGCTTGGGTTCAGTGCTTCCCCTCAATGAAGTTTGGGATCCTACCTGCTTTCCCTCCTCTTGGGGGTCGCGGATTATTGTGCCAACATTTGGATGCCCTACTCCTTCCCATGCGTTCAGCTCATGCATTCTATCATTCATTCTACCGTCCAAGTGTGCTTCGAACTGTAAGAATTCAGTCACCTACGCAAGCCACAACTGGGGCCCCACTGCTGGGAACTTGTAATCAATGTTTTGAATACCTTTCACAGCACCCAGCGTCCCGACAAATTAGTGTCTTACTGTAAATATATTAAATAACAAATAAGTAACCAAAAAATAAAAATTCGCAAGCGGTGAGAACATTTTATTCAATACTTTTGACATAATTGTATCTATCTTACAAATCATTAATTTTATACAGAGAATGACAACTTAAAAAATCTTCATATATATACATTCTCAACTATATAATAAATATCTTATCACACACACTTATATATGAAGACTACGAATAAAATAGACTTGAATCAATTAAGAACACGATTGGACTTTCCAAAAAAAAAGGAAAAATTTTATAAAACAATTTTAAATCATATGTATAAAGAAACGGGCTTTGCCTCTCTTTTAAGTTGTTTCACCAAAATTTGGAAATTTTGTAAAAAGGCAATTCTACTAGATTAATCTCAGTCTTCAAAACAAAATTTTATATAATTTCGCCTATAACTAACAATCCTCATTATCAAATACTTTCCGTTTTACAGGTCGTCGTTCTGGCAACGGTCTCTCCAGATCGTACAGATGTTCTCTGTGGGTCATGAAGCTAGCATAGGACTGAAAATATAATAAACAAAATAAAAAATGTATTTAGAAAAAAATATACTTGTAAAATACAAATAAGAGTGCAGATATAGGCATTTTAAAGAACAACACTCTGTATAAAAAAAAAAACACCATTTTCAGGACGACACCTATCCAATATATACAGGGTGTTTTAGTAAAAAAGAGAAATAGAATAACAACCCAATTTCAAACTTCAATCCTAGTGCTTCCATGTGGGAAGATTACTCAACAATTTTAAATGGACAACTCCCTCAAATTCTATTGATAATCATAGCTTACTCATTAGCATTCCTAACGGTTGCGGTTTGTTAAGAAATTTTCCTTTTAAGGCTGTGAAATGGACTAAAATTGACGGTAGTTGTCATCAGTTAACAAGGTGTTATTATATCATGCTCTTTATAATAAAGAATATGTATAAGCAAACCGAGATACAATAAAATTATAAACAGCAATGTTGAAAGAATGCATTGAATATAAACATATTTCATAATAAACTTTAAACAAGTAATTGCAAGGAGTAATAAAATGATTGTAAATTATTAATTCCCTATAATTTTTTATCAACTTTCACACAATATGATGGCTGTATGTTGAATAATTAATACCAAAATTCTGATTTCCAATAATTTGACATTTGACTAATATTTAATCAGCTCCGAGACATAAATCTTTAAAAGGTTAAAACATTTATAAACATATAAGTATTATTATTTTCAACATGTTACCCTGCAGTAGCCTGCGGCTGTTATAGGAAACGTAGGAATACAAAAAGAAGTGCAATGTCACCCATCACCCTACAGTGTGCTTATCTGCTTATTTGAAATAATTATTCATAATTGAAGAAGTGGATGTAGGATCTAAGTAACAGAAACATACTTTAGAGATATTTGAATTTCAAGTTTATTTGAATAGTTCACCATAGGACATTGGTTGTTTATCCTCTGGTAACATCTTTATTTGAAAGAATATCATAACAGATCATAGAGGTAATTTTAGGTAGGTGGATAGGCCATTCATTTATGCAAAAACATCGATTTAAAAAATCTACATAGACCATTTCTTCAGTTAAGAAAAGTTCGTAATTATATTCTTCTCAGTTACAAGTGCCATTTTATTATCAACGGCTAATGTTACTATCATAATTGACGGTGTTTTAGGGCAAACACTTTATTGGACAGCGGTCCGCAAATTAATTTTATTAATGAAAAATTTGGTAATAAAATTAAAGCCTATAAATTGACTATTAACCACACAATTAAAGGAGTTGATCCAAATTTTGTAAATATTAAGCATAAGGTTATTCTATCTTTAAAATCTTTATATTCTAATTTTAATTTTAGAATTGATTTTTTGGTAATTAACAAAATAACAGGAAAAACTTCTAATGATTTCTATTAATAATAATCGAATTAAATTACCGGTTTCGAGCTTACATTAAATTGTAATTAGATGAAACAAAATGGATTCTATGTATTTTGAGGTGATCTTTTCGAAAAAAAGGTAAAACAAAATGTAGCAGTTTTTCGAAAGTGCCGAAATTTTGGATTTTGTCAATTTTTCAATTTTGCGCAGGCGCATGTCGGAAATAAATCAATATTTTTAAAACGCAGTTTACGACATTTGAAAGCTTAGGAAAAATGCTAATTTTTATGTCTAATGAGAAATTTTGATCCGATGCACTGTTCTCGCGGTATGGACGATTGAAATTTGTTTAGTATTTTGAGGCGACGAAGGTCGAAAAATTGAATTTGTTAAATGTTCAAACACTAAATTCTTCATAACATTGGTAAAAATTAAGATATTTGAAAAAACAAAAATGCGTTTTGAACTTAAAGGATGTGACTAGTGATTTCCAGAAGGGGGCAAGAGAAATACCAAAATTGGGCATATGGCGGAAGGGCAAAGTGTACCGCGGTCCTAATTTCATTGTTTGCCTATAACGGCCAAACTATTTGAATTTTTTTAATGCCACTTACAAAGCTTACTCTTAAATGTGAAATCTTATGTGTGTGTGTGAATTTCACCTACATCGGACCATAATTGGCTAAGATATAAAACAATTAAATAAATTTTTTTCCTTAAAAAAAAATAAATTTTTTTTCTAAAGTTTGAAGTGGCACAAAAATGCCAAAAATGCACCCAATGGCTCAAAACTTTTTTTTTTTGAGTACTCTATTGTGTCTAGAATACGATTACATTACGGAATATTCTGCAAATATATTTTATCTATTTTTTTGACCACTGTTCATTGTGTGACGACCAAAAAACACGGTTTTTGAGAAAAGTTGCCTAAAATTGACAATTTTTAGTTTTTTGGTCTGAAAATTAAGCAAACCCAAATTTCATGTCTTCTAAATGTATATACAAAGTTTAAAGTGTGTATGTTCCTTCTAAGTTGTAGAATTCTCCCGACAAATGTCCCATTACACGCGCTCCGCGGGATCCAAAACTCGTGTATACACTACATTACTGTAATTTGATTTTTTTGCGATTTCCAGTTTTAAATTTCTTACATATCTAAATTTATTAGGCTTAAAATTTATTAAATTGTATTTTACTGACTTGTTATAAGACGTTTCTTGAGTTTTGTTCAAAATATAGAATTACCGCCAAATTAGCCGCACGTCGCATCAACGGTCTCGGCGTTCGCTATCTGACAAGTTTAAACTTCAAACGGTCATATGTTTACAAATTGAATCGCTTGATAGTGTTCATCGGCATAGATTTTTAATAACCGTGTTCAGCAAGCTCTGTGTACACGTGGCTTTTCGAACTTCTTCAGCAATTTATTAAGTACGTTCCTAAATTAAGAAAATTCTATCACAGTGCTATAATTTTTTGTTTCCGGGTTGCAATGGCTGGCCTGTGTTTATTATGTCATCAGACACTTGCAGAGGGTGAACTATTGCAGATTTGCAATGCGACCTATGACATTCGAAATATAACCGAAAACTACGCATTTTTTGTACTTAGAAAATTGCTCGTAAAACGAGTGGTTTTTTCTTAAATCCAATATTTTCCCTTTTTTTTTTGAGAAAAAACAAGCACACTGTCGATTTTTTCCGTAATTTGGGCACTTTACAGACTGAAAATATATTAGAATCAGTAAGTTTAATGAGAAACAAGCTTACTTTATCTCCCAATTGCCAGAAAATTCGAGTAGCTTCAATTCTCGCGAGATTTACCGATCTTTGAACACGTGCGCTCAGAAAACAGTGGATGCTAGAAAAAATGTATATGCCACAGTTTTTCGTGTCTTTTTTTTTTCTCTATCATCTGATGGAAACAGTTTTCTATTCAGATAATTAGTTTTCGAGTTAATTAAGAAAAAAGTACGAGAAATTAAGAAAAAATTGTTTTGCAATTTTTTTCAAAAAGTTCGGAACGTAACTAGAAAATACGTATTTTTGTCATGCATATATATCTTCTCCCATTTCAAGTTTTCTTGTAAATAACTAAAAACCAGATAGAGAACAAAAAGCAAGCTTATCACCAAGTTGGAAGTTACACTCAGGCTTAGGATTAATTTCCTAACATTTTTAAAGTATACCTTTTTGTGTATTTTTTTGTGCTTTTTTCGATGGCGAAGTTAGATTTTTCAAATATATTTTTTTTGTTAGATGTTTTCGGAAAACCCGGAAAAAATCATATGGGAAAAAAATTAAAAAAAACTACGTTTCCGGTTTCCTGCGAATTCCCGAAAACTTATGGCAGATTTCGCCGCGGGACTTATTTATTTGAGAGCCAACAAAAAAATACGCAACTTCTCTCATGGGCACATATGTCTAATATTTATAATTTCGCCACAAATTCATCGCAAATTTCATGTCCATGGTTCTGATCAAAAAAACGACTTTTTGGTAAAAGCACTTCTGGCGGCGAGAAATTCGCCATTTAAACTACCTGTACAATGAATTTCCGAATGGTGCATTTATTTTCACTATCGGAATGATACTTGCCCAGATAATTAGCATTTTTACAATGGAAAATTCCGGAAAACCCGGTTTTTCCTAATTTAAAAAAAATTGAAAAACTGCTACATCTTTTTTTTCTTTTTTTCGGAAAGATCACATCAAAATACACAAGGTCCTTTTTGTTTCATCCAATTACAAATTAATGTAAGCTCGAAGGGGCTTTTTTTCTTTATTTAATTGGACTATAAATGTCATAATCAAATACCTACAGATCTAAATTTTAATTTATGTGAGGAAATTGATATTTCGGTTGGATCAGAGGTCTTTTGGTCAGTCGTTTGTAATGGTCGAAAAGCATTAGATTCAAATTTACCGGTTTTACAGAATTCCTAGCTTGGGTGGATTGTTGTTGAAAAATTAGGAAATTCAACTGATGACTAAACTTTCATCTTTTTGTTGCAAAAGATGAAAGTATTAATAATGATGTTAAAAGGTTTTGGACTATGGAAGAAGTCAATAATAATGAATATGGAAAGTTTTACGAAGATTTATTTGAAAAAACGATTTTATCGTTTAAAGTATAAAAAATAGTGAATTAAAATCTGATTATTTCCACTTCATGGAGGATTATAAAAATTTAGGTCATGTGACCAAATTAAATGCAAAGCATTTAAATGAAGGGTATTTTATCCACCTTCAGGCAGTTATTACAAAATCCAGTCTTACTACACGTTGTCCTGCTAAAAATGGACTATCATTAAATTATGTACAATATACAGGGCCGCCTTTGCAGCAAGCGATTTTTGAAATTTTATTACAATTTCGTAAATATAAATGTTATAGTCGGTAATATATCATCGTTGATTCTGCAATATCTGCTATGTGAAAAATATTATTATGTGAATCCTGATAGACATATCAGCTATTACGGTCTATAGTTTTAATGTTGGCACATAACAGTGTTTTATTATTTTATTTATAAAATTAACAGATTTTTTTTAGCACATATCAGATATTACCAACCGATGCACAAACGTTAATATAGCTGGAATAGAACCAAACCTAAAATTCCCCATAAAGTGTACATAGCAGGTATTGCACAAACAACGACGATATCTAAGATGTACCGACATATTTTGATCATTCTGACTGGTCATTGCCAAGTACGAAAGCATCTCCATATCATGGGGCTGTCAGAATCCGCACTCTGCAGAGGGTGCGAACAAGAAGATGAGACCATCGAGCATATACTTTACGATTGCTCGACGCTCTCATTTATTAGAAGATTTGTGTTCGGCGAGTATCGGCTAACACAGGCCGATATAAGAGAAGCACCTCTTGGCGACGTTGTCAACTACATAAAATCTGTAGGCTGGCTCACGAGCTAGGAGGTGCCTATCATCTCAGGAGGATGCACAATGGGCCTAATGAGGCCTAAGTGACGTGGGGGTAACCCACCCTCCACACGTTACAGATACAGACATATTTTGATTAAGCCAGACCAGCGGCAATATAAGAAAAAAAAATTTAAGGATGGATCCAAATCTGCCATTTGAATGTTTTGAATTGAATCAGTTCAATATTTAGCAATTGTCTAAAGAATATTATTTTTTTTTATCCCATTACTGAGAGGAGCTGATAGTGAATCAGAAATTTTGAAAATTCAAAATAATATTTTGTTAATTTTATCAAGTGCAGGTATTAATTTACGAAAATAGCTAACAAATAATCCAGATATTATGTTGCAAAAAGCTTGTTAGATCATGTGTTAATTTTAATTATTTAATGGGGAAGTTACCTGATTGCAGGGTGAATTTTTTTTCTTTTTTTTTTCTTTTTATTAATGTGTGTGTCGATTATGGAGGTCCTTTTCCATAAAGGACAGGAAAACTCGTAGTGCAAAGATCACTAAAGGATATGTTTGTTTGTTTGTATGATTAGTAAAGCAGTTCACTTAAAATTAGTTATTAGTTTCAGCATTGACTACTAAAGCATTTTTAAATGCCTTAAAGCGTTTTATAGCAAGGAAAGGTAAACGTTGGAATATTTACTCTGATAATTGTTCGAATTTTGTGGGAGCTAACAATCAGTTACAAAAAAATGAACAATTTTGTCACTTCAGAAAATATAAACAACTATTTTTTTTTAATTAATGAGAGAATTAGCTAGCATTTTATTCCTTACCACTTCTCAAACTTTGGCGGTATTTAGGAAGCAGATATTAAAAGTGCCAATTTTCATTTGAAACATTGGAGTATCTATTTTAACATTTAAAGATTTTTATATAGTGCTGAGACAAGTGGAAAGCATTTTAAATTACCAACCTCTTTGTCCCTTATTCTCTGACTTAAAGATTTAAACACCCGTGACTCCAAGCCCATTTATTGATTGGCGTTCATTAGTTGCCCTGCCTGAAGGAGATATGCAAGATACCGGAGAATCAGCTTAATCAATACCAGTATATATTGTCCCTTACTGAAAGATTTTGGACTAGATGGAGTAAAGAGTACGTTTTTGAACTCCAAACTAAAGTTAAATGGAGTCTGAAGGCCTCTCAATTGGTTAAAATTAGTCTCTTGGATATATTATCAAGAATGAAAATCTACCAAGTTTACGTTGGCAGTTAGGCAGAGTTAGCCAATTCTTCCCTGGGAAAGACGCAGTATGCCGAGTAGTAGAAGTGCGGACAATTTCTGGACTTCTTCGACGCGCGTTGACTAAATTGTGTTTTACTAAACAAGGTAACTTTTTTTAAGATTTTAGATTCTTTCATGGTTGGCGGAATGTTAAGAATGTAGTTAAAATATGCCCTTTCTGTAGCCTTTGTACATGTGTTTTTTCCACTACCTTGGGTGAAGGCTAAGGGCGCTCGAAATAAGTGCAGCCAGAACAATAATGACATTTTTGTAGTTTTTTTTTTTGGACCATCAGTTAGGCCACTTCAGTTTTGTATAAATTTTTTGTATCAGTCATTTGGCCGTATTGTTCACTTAAAGTAAAGTTTACCAACTAGTTTTTTTATTGAATGAATCTTTTATTGAATTACAAGTCCACCACCCTACCCAACCTTGTTACAGAACATACTATTCTAAAACACTGAAATTTTTTTACTTTTATCTCTATATTTTTCTAAATTCTGTCTAACTGACAGCCTGGAGAAAGACTGTTGTAGTTGTTTGCGATTGTGTATGTGTTCTAATTGTTTGAATGTCTTTCAATCTATTAGTTGGGATTCTTTTTTTTATATATTAAGTATTAGTAAGTATACAGTGTGCTTATTAAAAAACTTAAAATCTGTCAAATCTGTCAAATTCGCATTTTTTTAATTGTTTAAAAATGCCCAGAAAACTTTGTTTTTGCATAATTTTAATATTCGCAGAAAATAACCACATCGTCGAACATTATTAACACCAAATTGGTATGACATTGTTATTTTCTCGTCCCTTAAGCCTTTTCAATGAATACAAAATTGTTAACAAAAAATGTTGAAATCAAAAATCGATATGTTGATGTAAAATGTAATTAGAAACAAGTTTTCTATAACTTTTATTCGTTTAAAAAAAAAGCGTTTTTGAACGACTTTTCAAAAAAAAGTCAATTTGAGAGATAACTAATGTGAGTAGCCAACTTTGAAAAGGGTTATTTTAAGCTTTTAAATAAGCAGAGATGATTTCCCTACGATGTTTTTTCAATCGTAATAATAAAAAAAACATGGATCTATGGCAAACCCTGTATTATACAGAGATGCCAGCTTCAGATGAGCTGAGTAGCTCTAAAAAATCAGCCCATCTGACAGAATTGATTTTAAAACATTGAGATTTAGTGTTTTATAACTACCATATTAGAAAATATGCACTACTTAATTTGATACGTGATTTATATAGTTTGACTCGACTAGTTTTTGATTTATCAGTTACTTATTTTTGAAATTCACACTATAATCAATATAAGCTAATGTTAATTATTACAATCTCTGTCTAATCAATCAAAGCATGATCAATCATATTAGTGTCAGATTGTATTTTTATAACTACGAGTATATGAATTTACCTAATTAGACATAAAAAATTTCAAATGATTAATTTATTATCGAATTGAATCGAAAAATTATTCAACCTGTAAAATAATCGATTTCGTAGTTTTGCTAGTTTAGGTAAAACCAAAGATTACCAAGATGGGACACTATAATAATGCCATAAAAATATCGCTATGATCTCATCTCTTTCAACAACTAAAAACTACTAGACTAATCCATTCATTCATAATTAAACCCTTTTTATTGCAATCATTCAGATTGTGTTTGAGTGCGGATGGCTTGTGCGAGTATGTTTATCTGAGGAGCGAGCATGTTTTATGAATGAATCAGTATTAAGTCTACTACGATTGCTTTACACTGCTTCCAAATTAATTGCGTACTTTCCTGAAAAACACTATAGCCGAGTACCGAAATAAGACAATAATTTAATGTAAAGAATGTATGAAGAATCTTGACAGAGGTGCCACATAAGCACTTGCAGTATATGCCCACCACTGAAAAAAACCCCTTGTCCAGTAACCTCAAAAAATGTATCCAAACTTCAGCGCAATGACATGACAGCATGTTTCATACATTAAATTACTGTCTATTATTTCGGTATTCAACTATAATAGAAAATGTGGAAGTTGTACAATATTACTGATGAAATGATCGAGCCATTCATTGTAAACATTGGTTGCGACAGTTCATCTTCTGATTTCGATTCTGATTTGGATTTGTAGGTAAGAAGTAGTTTTTATATTAAAATTATTATTTATGAACGTAACGTTGTTTAAAAGTCAAAGTTTAAACCCTTATACCTACATAACCCGTTTGACACAATGTTCTTAACATACCTTGTGGAAAAATAAAACATTTTAAAAAAAATTGCACTTTTTTACCTTCATTTGTTTAGAAGTTATAAGCAGGTTAATTAGGTGAAAATATAAGTGTATACTCGAGGAATAACTTCAAAAAATATTTTAACTGTCTACTAAAAGAAGTGATACGCCTATGGATTACGAACGCTTTATTATTTTAATACTCTCTCATACATAAAAATAGACTATAATCCGATCTGGAATGTAGATGGATCGAAAAAGTTTTATAAATTATCACATTCTATGACGTTTAATATCAAAATTTTTAATTTTATTAATAAAAATAAGTTTATCACTAAACAAATAAAATCAAAGAGGCTCAATCAATTAATACTAGTTGACACCAAAGCGTAACTGTATTAGAATCATCCGAAGACAACATCGGTGGCTAAGAGGACAAATATTGTATATCAATTTTTGTCGAAAATAGGTTTAGTACAATTCTATGTCCTTCGAGGTGAAATATTTATTTATGGTTCCCAATATGGACGTACACTGCACCGCAAAATTAACCGGACACGTGAAATTTTAAAGTTTTCTCCTTTTAGTTTTGTTGAATTGCCTTGTATAATAATTAAATATATTTATCAAAATATAAGTTGCCGTTATCCATTCCGCTGGTGCTATTGTCACGCCTTTAAACTTTTTGGTTTGAAAAGCTCAAGGATTTCCATTTAAAATTGTTGAAAAATCTGAGAAAATTATCTATGCTTTTCTTTATAACCAGCAAGATAAGCATTAAGCTTCGACGTAAAGGTAGGCATTTTAAAATCCTCTCGAAGAGGAAATTGAAACAGACCGGTCCTGAAATTGGTGGTATAATTATTAAGTTAAACCCCCAGAGACATGCATATTTCTTTAAACAACCCAATAAGAAGATAACACCTTAACTTCTACCATACTTCTCATTTTTCACAATAAAAGAAAATAATAATACGAAAAAAATACGGGATTAGCCAATTGGAAAACAAACATACCAAATAGTACAATTTCTACTAGTAAATTTTGAATATAATTACTTTAGAGGGGCGGGGCGGGTTATCATTCATCTCCTCTGGCTGTAGTTTTCGGAAAATTACTCACCATTTTCGATAATATTCGCTTTGGTATGGGCTCATCCAAAGCAAAAATATAATCCCTATGAAGCATACACTTTGATTCATCTTCAAATAATACCTGTAATGAAAATAATTATTTTATTGGTGATCTAAATTAAAATAACTTTCAACAAGTAAGTTTTTAAAATTTGTAATAATAAATCTTACCGTATATACAAAACAATGGGCTTCACCCATACAATCAGCAGTATATATTTGACCGTCAATCCATCTTATTTGCAGTCTTTGTCCTTCATACGGACCGTCTGGCATTGTTTCAAAATCAACAATATCAGTCAGAATTATATCTTTGGAAAAACTCTGATCTGATGGAAAAAACACTGCATATCGCGTCTCTTGCTTCACCTCTTCAACTTTAGCATGATAATATCGACCATTTTTGTGTCTCGCCCAAACTATATCGTTCAATTTGAGCGATGAGTCCTATAAAAGGAACAATAATTTTCTATATAAAACTTCATATCTAAGAAAATACGAATTTTTGTATAATATTCAATTTTTACTAGACTTCATTTTTAAATTAGGAGCGAATTGAAAAGCCGCATTTACACAGGAAAAAGTTACTAAAAAAATATTTTAGCTTATGAGTGCAATGACGTTAACGTTTTATATAACCATCGAATAAAAATTACTTTAAAAAATTGTGCTCATTAACTTTTTTATTAATTGTAGATTCTTTTAGCTTTTTGCTAATTCGTTTCGTGATTCGGTATAGATCTCAGTGCATGCCGGTATGGTGGCAGTGAGAACCGAAGTGGAACCGAGCACCAAGATAAAGTCAACCAAAACCAAAATGTTATTTTTGGAAAGCAGATCAAAACACGACCTACAAGCTCATTATACATAGTAAATCAAAATGCATGACAAACAAAATGCAGGGCAATCAAATAGAACGGTAAACAAAAGGCACAGAAAATATTATACAAGTATTTAGATGCATATTTACCTGCGTAAAATGGTCGTAAGTATAGTACGTAATTTGTGTTGTAACACAATTCGTGGGTAACTTTTGCATTTGTGCGTTAATATGTTTATTTTTAAATTTTTTATATGGATTTATTATTTTTTTTCAATGTTATTTGTATGCAGTACGTTAACCGACGCATCAGGCAAAATAAAGATGATACTCTTAATAAAGAAAGTAGTCAGTAGCTTACCTCCTGGTCTTCCACTCCTCAACTGGTGCAGACAGCCAGAGAGAGACCACAAAGATTAAATAACGCAGCTACCCTACACTATCACTACTTTGTTGTTGCCATGCCTACGAATTACCACTGCGCACAGAGGCGTAGCCAGGCTTTAGGGGCAAGATATTAAAAAGGCGCAAAAACCTGTTTAGTTTTTCTTAAAACAATGGACATGTGGAGCATCCTGTTTTATTCTAGTCTGTAGACCTTTTATATCACCTGACATAGAACTGGCACCGTCATATGATTAGGCACGACATAATGCTATCAAGGTCTAAACATTATTTAGCTCGTTGGGAATGGCAGTATAAAATGAATCTGCAGATGCAGAGAACAAGCTTACAAATTTCAGAAACCTTTCTTCAACAAAACCGTGTTCAATTACAAAATGCATTGACAAGGACATTTGCTCTTTTTTTATCTGCAAATTGTCGCGCGGCGCCTTCATCGGCACGATTACTCTCCGCAGAGTAGCGCTGTAATAAAGCTGTTGCTGCCTATAAATTATTAAGACTGATTACATTAAAATAAGACATCCAAACTTACTTATTTGTTGTTAATATTTTGGTAATATTACTAATATTTCAGCAGTTGTCATTTTTTTTTCTAAAATCAATCAAAAGGTGAATTGGTGCCAGGGGTGGGGATGGAGGAGGGCAAATTGCCCCCCCCCTCCTTTGGTTACTCCACTGACTGCACACACTGGCGTCGAGAGTCACCAGATAATCTGCCGACTGTAACTTGTTTTAACTATGCCCTTTCGATGGCAATGCCGGGATATTGCAGTCCACAGGCAGTGATGTATTATTCTATTTCTGTCTATTTAATGGCATCAGTATTGAAAAGTTAATGTACTATATATTTGGTTAACTAATTAGAAAAGGATATATTGGTCACAGATGTCAACGTTAAAGTATTACTTCAAATTGACGTCATTTGGATTGTGACAATTCACGCCATATTACCGTTATCACGCTAGTTTTTTGAACATAAATAACGTTGGGTATGACGAATATGTTGGTGTTTAAAGCAGGGATGCACTGGAATTCCGTCGGTACCACTAAATCCGGCGATCCGGCCTATCGGTCTGAATTATCGAAAATTTTAAAATAAGTTAAATATAAGCAAAAAAAAAACAAGAAAAACATTTTGAACTTAATTAAATTGAAAGTCGTTATTAAATAATCATAAAAATTATCTTTTTAAACAAATGAATGCATTTTATAAAAATACACATTCCACTTAGATAATATAATAAAAAAAATTATATTAAAAAAAATCAGTAATGAATAAGACATACATCTTATAAACCGAGGCACAATAAAAAATATGAACCAAAAACTAATATTCATAATTTATTTTATTTAGATTCTGATGAATAAATACGAACTTTTAACCATTTTCAGAATTTAGCTTTGCCTATGTTTAATTTTAAGCTCGTTTTGTTGAAATTTTTGCTGATTTTGTAAACAAATGTATAGCTGTTTTTTGTTTTTAGACTGTTGCCAGTTTTATACATATTTTAGTACAGAACTGCAAAATTTGCGCAAATTACGGAGTTTTATATTTTAGATAGAACTTGTAAAATAACACTGAATTGTTGTAATTCTTACATATAGGCTAGATGTCGGCTAAATACCCGATTCAGTATATCCCAGTTTAAAGAACATGTTACCAACAAAAATAACAATTTTAGATGCAACATTAACAATTTTCAAAATTGGTTCATCTTTTGAGATTTTTTGTACAAGTTTATTATAGATATCCAATTATCTAGTTAATCCTAAAAAGAACAGATTTATTTTATTTTGGATTAATAATTAATAGGTAATTAAAAAGAATAAAACGAAATGAGCACACATTGATATTTACAAATTTTAAAGTAATTGACCAGAATGTGTCAAATTAATGAAAGGTCAAATTCAAATCGCTCCTAGTTTAAAAATAATGTATAATGGTGGTCTATTCTGTAGCGATTCCTTGTTTTTTTTTAACAGCCGTTACAATATTGACAGCCTTTAAAAATATTTTCCTATTTACTAACTAACTTACTTCTGTCAATATTTAAACGAATTTCGTTTAAAATAATAATAACAATTTTTAAAGGAACACCTGTTCCAATTAACAAATGTATCTTTTAAGAATATATTTTTCGATTCAATAAAGATGCCGCCAGAATTCAGTTTTTACGGTTGGTTTTAGTTTTAAAACAAAAAGACTGGCCAACGCTGAACCCTAATCAAAAAGTATAAAGTAAAATATAAATTGTTTCTTTATTGGCGACGTTATGTTGTCCGCTCTTCTTTTCTTAGCCTTTAATAGACCATTCCCATGAATACCTTTTCAAGGTGACTAAAAGTTAAATTTTTAAAGGATATTGTATAGAATAAACCTCTATAACTAATTATTGAGCACGAAATATTTAAAAAAATTAACTCACATTTTTCTCAGTTTTAATATTCTTTGAACAACCAATCGTGTGATCTAGATTCTCGTTCCTCGTACAGTCTTTCGCTAAACTAATAGAACTGACATTAAACAACGTCAATCCGGAATTCAAATATTCTTGTACATCTTTACTGAAATTATTGAAAACATCGTTAGCCTCTATATAACACTCCAGTGGAGTCAAACACGCCTTTTTATAAAGCAATCGATTGCTGAGCCCCCCGTTTCTGCCGGAGCTGTTCGAGGTTTTCAAAAAATTATTCACCAAGCGCTTCATCGTACTGAATCGCTGTTTTTGGTCCTTATTTGGCCGCCCCCTTTTTCTCACTCCCAATATTATTTCTGACAAAGAAAACCTCGGTTTCTTCATCGGAAATTCCTTCTTCTTCCCTTTAAAAAATTGCCTCATCTTTTTAAAGTTGCTCTTATTCTTTGGAAGTGGTTTCATCATTGTTTTAAATTGCATATTCTCTTTTGTTTCTTCGTCATTTTTATCATCATTTTTATGAGTCGGTGTAGTGATAGCCTCACCTTCTATTTTGTTACAAATTTTAGATTCCTTTAAACACTCCTCACAGTCCGAGTCACATCCGCTAGAACTGTCCGATGATTCGGATTCATCGGAGCTAGATGAACTATCTGAATCAGTATCATCTTTTTCAGATGTGTTTTTCCTATCAATATGGTGTTCTATTAATGGAAGATCCATCATTTCTAGAGCGGTTATGTTTTCTGTAGTTACAGTAGGTATTGTTTCTACTATAACCTTGTCTCCACAATTTTTTTCAGGAATGGGTGCACTGGTCATAGGATAAAACCTATCTAGATTATCATATATGGTTTCTGAACACCTATAGGTAGTGTAATATTTGTGATTACTCCATATTAAGTTAGGTTTGTGCTTTTTAGGGGGCAATTCATCGACGTTTTCTAAAGTTTGATTTGTTGTTTTCTCAATACTCACGGAGTACATGTCTAACAAACCCTTGACCGCCTCTTCTCTGCGATCAATTTCAGTCAAATTGACTTTAGTTGCGACGACTGGCGAATCCAAATTCGGCATATCGTCATGTTCACAGATAGGTTCAGGCCTGGAAAGTTCTGGCATTTGGACAGCACGAAGTGGGACTGGGAGCAATTCCGAGTACTGCACAGGAGGAAGTTCAGATAATGTTGGATTTATCATCATTTGGGAGTTAAGTACAATCATTTGTGGTTTATTAACGTTTCTAATAACATTATTACCATTAATATAATTACTAGGTGGTACTGGTGTTTCAATATTGCTAGTCCTCGTAGTTTCACTCCTGTTGCTGTAAGTACGAGGCTCTGTACTAGTGTTGGGTTTACATACACTGGCTGTATTTTTGCTAAGTTCAGGTACAGAAGGCTTTACTGCATTAGTGCTAGGCTTGTTATTATCCTTAGTTTCTTGTGTTGTATTAATGACTGGTACTGTACTAGCGCCTGGTGCTGTACTAACGCCTGGTGCTGTACTACCGCCTGGTGCTGTACTAATGCCTGGTGATGTACTAATGCCTGATACTGTACTAATGCTTGGTAATGTACTAATGCCTAGCTCAGTACTATTGCGATGAGTTGTAAGTGCTGTTGTTTTGGGTGGGCTACTGGAAGTTATCCTAATACCTTTTGGGAGAGATGATATAGTTTTTGAAATACTGTTTGGTAGCGTTTTTGGTGGAGTTCTGATAGGTGTTCTTATAGGCGAAGGTCGAGTTTTTGTTTCTGGTGTAGATTGTCTCTGATTTATGAAGTCTAAGAAAGCACATTCGTATTTATTGGAAAGTGCCGATTTAGCAGTCACTGGTTTCGGTTTAATGACCACCAAGTTCGGTTCTATAGCCATCACGTTTGGTTCTAAGACAGTGATAATGCCTTTTGATGTTCTTATTGTTTCGACCTTATTAGTTGGTACAATCGGTACCACCTTTTTAGGTATCCTGTAGGTTTTAAGAGGTGGTTTGGGTTTAGCCTTTTGGGAAGTTGAAGGCTCTGGTTTGGGGTCAGTTGTTTGAGAAGTTGAAGGCTCTGGTTTGGGGTCAGTTGTTTGAGAAGTTGAAGGCTCTGGTTTGGGTTCAGTTGTTTGAGAAGTTGAAGGCTCTGGTTTGGGTTCAGTTGTTTGAGAAGTTGAAGGCTCTGATTTGGGTTCAGTTGTTTGAGAAGTTGAAGAATCTGGTATGGGCACAGTTGCTTCACTAATCAGCTTTTGTTGGTGTTCTTCAGCTGCAGCTCTTATTATGCTATCTATTTCTGCTTTGATTTCTGTTTCTTCCTTCACTTCTCTTTCTTCCTTCACTTCGCCTTCTTTTATTTCGGTTTCTTCCTTTACTCCTGGGTCTACCTTTACATCTGTGTCTTCCTTTGCTTCTGTTTTAGTAGGATCTGGTTTTTCAGAAACTATTTTCTCATCTTTATGATGCTTTCCTGAAAAACATGTGAGAAGAGTTTACAATTTTGTGATTAATTGAGAATGGGGAATTCTCAAATTAAAAAAAAAGTATATAATAAAGTCCCTAGCAAACAAAAAATCACCCGGAATAGGTAATATACAAACAGAATTAATAAAAGAGAATTTAGAAATATTTACTCCACTCTTAACTCATTTAGTTAATAAAATATTACTGCAAGGAGAGTTTCCCATAGAACTAAAAAGATCGTTAGTGATACCAATATTTAAAAAGGGCAAGGAGACAATGGTAACAAACTACAGACCAATATCTTTAATCACCACTTTTGCAAAAGTTGTAGAGAAAGCACTAAATTTAAGATTACAAGAATACCTTAATAAATATAAAATAATTTATACAAAACAATTTGGATTTCGAAACTGATGCAATTCTAGAGTTGACCAAAAGGATTTATCACTCGGTGGACAGTAATAAACCAAACCTAACTATTTTCCTGAATTTAGCCAAGGCCTTCGATATTGTACATCACGAACAGTTATTGCTGGCCTTGGAAGATGCAGGAATATGGGGAACGGCATTAAAGCTTTTTGAAGACTACCTTAATAACCGATATCAACAAGTTAAAGTAAAAGATGAGTTAAGCGAAAGCAAATTGATTAAAACTGGTGTACCACAAGGGACAGTGCTTGGTCCTGTACTATTTTCAATATATGTAAATGACTTGTATATTCAAAAGACCAGATGCCAAATTGTAAGCTTTGCTGATGACACGGCTATTTTTTACAAAGCAGATACCTGGGAGGAATTAAAATATAAAACAGAAAATGACTTAAAAAAATTATAGAATGGTGCACTCATAAAAAACTTACTATAAACTACAATAAATCTTTTTTTTTCTTTTGCAAGCTATAGTAATAGCCTACCAGACTATAATAAAATTAGTATCAATTATAACAATCAGGAAATTACCTTACAAAAACAAAATAAAATTAAATACTTAGGTGTTACTCTAGACTGCCACTTACGATGGGATAAACATGTAAATAATCTAACCAATACCTTAAGAATGTTGCTCTTCAAATTCAAATTTCTTAAAAATATATTAAGCGTTACTCATCTTTAAATTATTTACTACGCACTTGTTCAAAGCAGACTTCAATACTCCGTTATCTGTTGGGGGGCTACCACAAAAAATCATCTGAATAAACTGGAAATACTTCAAAAAAGACTACTTAAAATCATATACGGTAAAAAAATTAGGTATCCAACAAATTTACTATATGATGAGGTCAAAATTATGGATATCAGACAGTTATATATTTATGCAGTTTTAATGTACACTTACAAACAAAGATATTTTACAAAAAAAGACCTTTAACTATCAAACAAGAGGTAAAAACACATGAACGGTATATACTCACCTTGTTAATAAGTCAACTTCACAGAGATTTTTCTTATATTTAAGTGGAAAAATATTTAATTTCCGTCCCGAAATGTACAAAATATATTTACTTACAATAAACTCATTTCAACTAATCAAAACTTTAATAAGACAATATATTGTAAATGCAGACAGAAAAACTTTGAGAGCATTAATTGAATAATATGTGGGTACGTCAGCAAAATATGATAAAACTATTTTATGTATATTTTAACATTTTATATATTTTTTAACATATTATGTATTTTTTAACATTTTATGTATTTTTTAACATTTTATGTATTCATTAACATTTTATATATATTTTTTAACATTTCACTAAATAAAAAAAAAATAAAAAAAAGAAAAGAAAAAAAATTGTTATTTTTATATATGAAGAGTCATATACTTATAAAAGAACCTAAATAGTTCATATTCATTTTTGTAATTATTTAAGTCGCATTATATATTATTCAATACATTAACATTAAATCATGTATAATAAAAGTAAATAATTCGGCAGCCTATGCGCAACCGTTAGGTCATAAATAGGCTACTAGGTTATCTACATATAACATTATCCTTTGTAAAATAATTATTGTTCTAATAAAAGTGTATTTATAATGTATGTACACCATAATGCTGAATAATAATAATTATTATTATTATTATATTTGGATTTAATTCATATTTATATAGAATTACTTCTAAGTATGTTTTTTTTAAAGACTGGCATAACAATGGGCCATGTTCACATGTGAGATATGCTGTTTTATAAATTATATTGTAATAGTTAGTCGCTATACAAGTTATTCTAAATAGTCAGTTCGTTAAAAAAGCCAAAAGTTTTTAAATTAAGGCCAATTGAAATTTAAAATTTGAAATTATACGTCATCGGGAATAGACCAATCATCTTGTGTCGAAGTTTTTTTTGTTATACAAAACCAAGCCAACGAACAAACCGACACACAGAATATCGAAGTGAACGCACATCTAAGTGACATTAACATTGACACCACCTAACACCTAACCTTAGTTTTTTGTTTTGGTTTAATTTTATTATTAATATGGATCAGCTGGATTTATAAAAGTTGAATCAAGTGTTTTACCCATTGTAAACGAAAATATAATTACCGAGATGATTACTGCATTTTTTAACAATACTCAGTTTACAAAAGTCAGGAAGGTAAGACTTTGTTTTAATAGTAGGTATTTACAGTTTATATGGAGCCAATACACCTTATAGTAAAACATATTTATCTCAGGTTTTATTTTTAGATCTGCCAAGCAAGAATATGGGGATAATTTCTTTTTCCATAAGAGAGAAGGAGACAAATTACACCTAAACATAAAGTACGGCAAAAACCTTCTGATGTGCTTGTTGTAATTAACAAAAATGAAATTTTTAGTGCACAATGCTTACGATATGCTGCATGTCAAGGTTTGTAATATTTATTATGCTTTTTTGTTTTTATATCACATATAATAAACAGTGTATAAGGCCTTTTATTTCTATAAATATTTTTTTTCTAATTTTGACATATATACATTTTTTGTAATCGCAGCAAGTGTTAAAATAATCTAGAAATAGATTTTGTTAGTGAACCTAGTAATAATTATGATACCAAAGAATGCTGCAGAGCACCTATGAAATTTTGAGTTAATAAATATGCCATATTTTAGGCTATTTTTATACCCTTTTCAAAAATTTTATGCTCCTCGTTTTTTGCAAAACTTAAAATGCTCTGATAGCCTTCGAACGAAGTCAGCAAAGCACCTCTGTTTTATAAAGTTTTTTCTGTAAAAACAGCAACACCATATATTTATGCACTTGAAATATTATATTTTTAAAAATACATGGTGCTTCTTGCTAACCTTCGAAAGAAGCCAGCAGAGCAATTCGGTTTTTTAAAGCTTTTTTCTAAAAACCACACTCCATTTTTAGACTCTTGAAATATTGTAAAACTTTACTAAAAAAATTGCTATTTTTAAATAATACAGGGTGCTTTGTTGGAACAAAGTCAGCAGGACACTTCAGTTTTTTAATTTGTTTTTTTATATATAAAAACAACTACTTATGACACATGTTTAGGCTGTTTTAAAATCCTAAAAATGTAAGTATATTTGTTTTCAGAAAAAAAACTTTGAAGTCAGCAAGAAATTGCGAATTTTTTTAAAAATGCCAAATTTCGAATATTTTATAATATTGTAGGAGCCAAAAAACGTGGTGTGGTTTAAAAAAAAAAAAACTGGGGTGCTCTGCTGGATTCGTTTGAAGCTAACAAAGCATCCCGTAATTTTTTATTTTATAATACTCAATAGCCTAAAAAATTGTACTTTTAAAAATAGCAGTTTTTTTCGAAAAGCTTTATATTTCAAAAATGTGGTGAGATTGTTTTTTTTAACTTTTGAAAATCCGAGGTTCTTTACTAGATTCGTTCAGAGCATTTTGTAGCTGGTTATATAGTTATTTTGTAACTGCATATCTCTTTTATTTTTTTCAGGTGGTTATAAACATGTGGCTTCATAGAAGAAGTGAGGAACCATCTGTAACATCTACTCAGTGTTATTGGAAAGGCTCTAATTTATCAAAATGCGTAAATATTGATGTACACTTGGCTAGATTGTTAAAGAAACCTCTTCATCCACTTCAGGAAAATAAATCAGTACTTTTATATTCTTAGGATTCGTATATATATATATTTTTTATTTGTAAATAAATTGTTTTTTACTTCATTTTTCTCATTTTTTATTAAAAGGTTGATAAATAAAATTTTCACAGATTTTTATATTTTTGTTTGTAAACAATAATTGAAAAGTTTTTATTAAAAATCGCCAATGTTAATAATAATAACTTAAGTCAATATTATTCTTTCTCCTTTTTTAAAGCTACTATCAATAAAGGTATTACTTTAGCTTGACCTATGATCAATTTTTAATTTTGTGATATATTTGGTTTGACAGAAAAAAACTTATAACCTTTTGACATTGGTTTTTACTTAGATTTTCATAAAAAATAAATGGAACTGCAAACATGTTTTACTATCGTAATAACGAATAGCAACATAAAATTTTTTTTTTCACATTTATTACTGTTGTCATTTTCATAAAGGATTGATAAGAAGGCACACTTTCTGGTTTTTTGAAAAAGGTAGCAAGAATTGTGATATTTTTAAATTTATCACCAGTGATACCACATGTAGTTACCCGATTTATTGGAATATATAGACTTTGCTACCACATTCAACTGAACTTGGTTGTTTTTAATATTTATCACCGTGACATAGGCGTTTTTGTTAAAATGTTTCATTTTAAACTGCTGTAAATAGGTGCCTTTGTTTTGGTAGTTTTAGTCCCAAAAAAATCTATGCATATACAGGTACTCATTCCTCTTTGATTTGCTCGAAAAGTTAAATTTTTATCAAAAATTACATTGGCTGTTTAAAAACTCATTATAATCCCTGAAATGTGATAATTAGGTAAATTAAATTAAAAAACAAACAAAAAAGTTTATTAAATTAATATTTACTCTTACAAAATAGGTTCTTGTAAGTTAACAAGCAATTATGCAGATATTACTAAGTAAATGTACTTGCTTAAAATTCACACACGAATGTGGTTTTAACATGTTAAATTAACTAACCCTTCTTATAACTCTTTCCACATGTATGTATTCTTAGAGATGCTATTCTTTTACTTAATTGTACATCTTCTGGAGAACTTTTTTCATTCTGTGATACACTAGGTGTGGCTTTACTAAAGTGCATCCCATGTTTTCAAGTAGCTGAATATTCTGAAACCCCTATCTGCCATTATATGGGATCCAGGAACCAGTTTGTTTAAATACCCACATTTTTCTATTATTTCTTTATCACTAGTTCTTCCACAAAATGATGAATAAATTCGGTATCTTCAAAACTTTCAGGAGATTCTGCATTTTCTTCCAGAAGGGTTTTTAGGTTATACACCTAAGAATTTATAGTAGCCTCATTTTCAATTTCCTGAAGGGGACAATTCGCAGAAATTGCTACTACATCTTGATAATCCGGTGTATTTTTATTAAAAAGTTCACGAGAAACATCGCCAGTAGAAGGTTGATTTTCTTCTTTCCAAATTTCTAGGAACACTAATAAATATTTTTGAAGATGAATGTGAATCATTATCACATTCTGGAACAAAACACTTTTTCGTAGTCATAATATTTATAAAAAGTACAAAATTAAACACTCAAATTCCAAATAAATTCTTGATCGAGACACTATGACAGATGCCATATACAGTGCTGCCATTTTGCCATTTTCTGAATTATTAAGTGACTTTTAAAACAATGAAACTTTAAATATGGTAAAAGTTTAAACAGAAATAATACTTTCAAAAAACATTTGATATTATGTATTTAAAAGATATTTGTTTAACAATGTTTTAGAAGTCTAAAATTAAGAAGGAGTACACAAACGAACGTACATCACTTCTCGTAAACCTTCTAGCCGGCAACGTTGTGCGCTAGCTGCTATTGGTCTATTCCCGGTGACGTCATAAATTTAAAAAAAATTCATAACTCCGGGAAATGAATAGATAAAAAAAAAAAATTAAAAAAATGTAGTTTTATTTTCAACTCTATTATTCATAAAAAAAATTTCAAAATTTTTGAACATGCCCCATTATCCTAGTAACAAATCCAAACATTTACCTAAACTCAAAAGGTTCATAGGTTAAACCCTTTTCACATTATAGTTATTTAGTCAAGTAAGCCAATCATACTCAAGAAATGACGTCTTTCTCGTTTTTGCAAGATTCCAGTCAATTTTTGGTAGGCATACTCTAAGTAAAAACAAACTAAAGGTGGCTCCTTCTTAACAGGATATCAATCACAAGTATCATATATGAAAATATGGTCAAGTACCTAAGAATAAATTTAGATGAAAAGGTTAAATGGAAAGAGCACTTTAAGAAGAAAACTAAAGAGCTAAGATACATGAGTATGTGTTCAAACAATAATAAAAAAAATACAATTTCAACAAATGTGATATGTTATCTCATAAACTAACTACTCAAGAGATTTTATTATATATTAACTAAGTTCGATGTTTAGAGGTAATAAAACGTATGCACATTACAGGATATTTTGAGAAAATCCATTGAAAATTACACATATGTAGTATGTGTATAACTCAGAGATACAAACTGTCATATTCACAATTGTGGTAAGTGCACTTACCTCATTTGGTTTATTAAGAAATTCAACAGTTAGTTCTACAAATATGGTGAATAAGCATATACCTTTTGTATTTTCAGAGTTGGCACACCATTCAATAACTATAAACTGTGTGAAAGTTATTTTACCAAAATTGTTAGTGAAGTAAAGGTACATGTATTCGCCGATCCAGGAGAAAAATAATTTTGCTGCGTTGCTTACTATAGGAATAAACATGACGAAGACGACATACAGATAGCATTTGTTTCTGCTAAGAGCAAAAGTGGACAGTTAAAAAAGTTAGTTACCATCCCTCGTATGGAACTTCAGGCTGTCGTTTTAGATATAAAATATTGGACATATACTTTTGGACTGACCTGTTAGAGAATCTGCGAAATTATTTATTAGAGAATGTAAAATTCGAAGAGTAAATCAATCAATATTTTTGTACATACCACCTCTGCACTATATCATCAATACATCATTAAAAAAATACATATATGAAGGAAACCTATACTTCTCTGTGAATATACTATCAATTTCTAAAATAAAAAAAAAATGAGAATTCCCCATTGTTTAGAGTAAATTTCATAAGGCTAAAAGTTCTTCAGTCCTACATACAATGCTAGTGATTGCAGTCAAAAGTAAACAGATCAAAAGTCCAGCTTTTCTCGAGACAGTGACCTTCTAAGTATATAATAAAAAATAGTGTCAAGACTTTAGCTTGTTGGATAATGTTTCATTCGGAAATACGTCCAACACCCTAACACATTCAGTGTATATTTATAAAGATTCGTTTTATTGTTACTAATAGATGATTGGTTTTGTTTTGAGAAAATAACTTACGTTTTTTATGTTTCTTATGTCCTTCATCATCTTTCTTCTTATTTTTATCCTTATGTTTGTGCTTCTTTGACTTTTTCATTAGAATTTCCGTTTCCTGTGCTAAAAGACTCTTAACTAATTCAGTTGTGTCCATTTGTTCCTCGATGGGTTTGACGATTTTACCACATACCTAAATATTGCAAAAAAAAACAATTAAAAATATTTCAAATCATACGAGGATTGTTAAGTCTTTAAAAAATCCAAGAGATGGCACTCTTGGCATCGAAAATTATTTGTTTTTACTAAACAACATTACTCATTAGACAGCTGACAAATTCTCAGTTATATCCATCAAATGGTTTTATTTTTATTGTCGAATGGAGCAAGAAACGCTTGGAAAAGTGTATAGAGCTAAAAGGAGATTATGTTGAACAATAAAAAAAAATACCTAAAATAATGTTTTAATATTTTTTTCTAAGGACTTGCTGAACGATCCTAGTATTTCTTATGATTGTATGTATGTATGTATTTCTGTTTGGCACTGGTTTCAAAACCAACTGGCCAGTCAATCTTTAATTAATTTTAATAAAGTTTATTTTGTGTTAATTTAATAAAATAAACCATATACATACTTTCTTGTCTTTTCTATCACAAGGTGCATAGAGTCCTGTCAAATTATTATAAACATCTTTATCCTTGGGTTGCCAAGAAGGATCATCGGTATTCTTCTTGCCCTTCTTATGGCGCTTCTTTTTGTGAAAATGTCTTCCTTTCTTCACATTATATCCAGCGTCGCAGACCGAAGCATCTTCCGCTTCTAAATGACAAAAAAAATACGATAAATAAAAAATAACTAATGAGCACTTTAATAATTATAGTATTTACAAAAATGTGTCAAGAGAATCTAAGACAAAATGCTAGATAAAATTTACCAATTTCGCCAGCTTTTAACCAAATATCTTCGAGAACTTCCAGTTGTTGTTCATCAGGAGGCATATCATCTCCTCCGAATCCCATGTTATCTTCCTCCATCAGTTCAAGTTGTAGCGCAGCGGGAAATTCGGCCATACTGAAATTGTGTCTAGTCAAAATCTTAAACCGAATGGGGCAAGTGTGGAATGATATGATTAGTGAGTTACAATTAAAAAATTAATCAAAATCTAATTTCTTTTTTTTAATCTGTTTTTGCAGCGAAATGTATATCAGAAAAGACAACTATTTAAAAATAATGTCAATTGTACATTGTCCTCCAGAATTAGATTTTTTAGAATGAGATACCCTATATTTTATATTTGAATTGCCCTTGCTTTTCCCATTATAACAATGCGCTAGTTCAGTGTGATGTCATTTTGGTTCCACTGACATTTAATTCTAACCAAACTTTTAACAAAAACATCAATAAATTTGACATATACGTTTTTACTGTTTTTATTTTATTTCAAAATATTGTTTACAGGTCATAAAAAATAGTTTAAAGGTATGTAATTGGTAACTAAACGATTGTATATTTGATACATGCTATCTACTTACTTTAGGAATATATTTATAAAAGTGAAAAAAACGATATAATTCAGGTAAACAAAACTAACAAAACGCACTCAAAAAATCTACTGTCACTTTAATTGTCAGTGGAACCGTAATTACATCATCACTGAACTAGCGCATACTAAACGGTACTGGTTTACAACCAGTTTTATATGAAAATTGTATTTATTTATACAAGTTCATACAAGTTTATTAATAATGTAATTTCTGGAATATAAAACAGCAAGCCCTAAGTGAGTGAACACTTGTATTGCGCTGGTTAATATGTTTAATAATATTGCGTACATCTTAGAATAAAATAATGATGTGATTACAGATATGTTTATACCTACCCTACTCTAGTATTTTTATAAACTCATAATAAAGTTAAAAAATAAATGTTTTACTCAGTTTAGAAAAAGTTTTTATGTTCGTAACATTCCTTATACTATGTGGTAAAAGGTTATATGTTTTTGGCAATGCATATATCAAGAATCTCTGACAAACATTTCTACTAAATTTAGGAAAATATAGTAGCTAATTGGAAATACTTCATGTACTATACACAGAAGTTACGTAATTTTGTTTAGACTTGTTGTTAAAAGCATATATACAAAGGCTGTGGAAGTAAAGCGATCTAATATTACAAATATCTTCTGTATACAGCAAGTTAGTGTGATAGCGTTTATTTCGGCTATAAATAATTTTTTAAATATAATTTTGTGTAACATTCAGCTTTTGTAAAGAGTTCTTATACAATCCATCCCATACTAGAATAGCGTAACGAAATAATGATTCAGCAAGAGATTTGTAAACTAACAATAGCAATGTTTTTGACAAAATTTCACGTAATTGATAGAATTTATAAATGATTGATTTCAATGACTTTTATACTGCAAAAGAAACAATTGAAAACATTTTTTTTTGTGGTAAAAGTTTTTCGATGTTAGCTAAAATTTATGCCTAAGCACTATTTTTTTAAAACAAACCAAATCTGTACAGGGTGAGTCAAAACCCAAGTACATCTTCTCATTTTTTAATTTGACATTTAAAATTAATCTAATTTTACTTTCATTTAAGCCAGGCATTCCCTATATCTAAAGTTAAAAATTTTGGGATATTTTTAAATTTAAAAGACAAAAAAGATAATTAAGAAGATTTGGAGCAAAATTGAATAAATCCACTATAAAGATTTATGGGAAAACACGATTTCCCAATGTCTTAAAAAGTACTGTTTTTTTTTTGTTTGTTTTGTTAGAAAATAATAATTATAATTTTGAAAAATTATTACAAACAAAAATGGATTTAGGCACAAAAAGTAATGTTTTTTTTTTTTCGTTTGTTTTGTTAGAAAATAATAAATATTTATAATTTTGAAATATTATAACCAAAAATGGATTTATTCAGTTATTAGAGGAAAACAACTCAAAATAAAGAAATTATATCTCTTACAAATTGCTTTCAAACTGCAGCGAATGCCAGTAGGTTGTTTACACTACTGTGCTAGTGGATTTGCATGAAAACATCGATTTCAACCCTGAATTTTACAAAGATTTATTCGGTTTTGCTTGAACAGGTAGCCTATATAGATGTAATTTAAAAAAGTAATTTGAAATCCTTATATTTTAGATAGAAATCTTTTTCCAATCTGTATTTTCAATAAACATTATTTTAGAATAGATAAAATTAAGCATTGACTGCATTTCCACAAAGATAATAAAAAGTATTAATCATCACATCTCTCAAATTTTAGCAGATTTAATCAGTCTATTCAGCTAGGTATTTTCCCAGATTATCTGAATGTAGGCATTGTAACTCTTATCTTTAAAAAAAAGTGATAATTTAATTGATAATTATAAACCTATTACAGTGCCCTAAGCAAAATCTTAGAAAAGTGTGTCCACAATAAATGATATTTCTAATAAATTATGAATATGCAAAAACAAAAATGGATTCCTTCCAAAAAAATCTACTGAAAGTGCATTCATTTTTCTCTTGATCAAAAGTTGTTTGCAGGTTCACTTCAAAAATTGGAAGGGCTTGGTTTTAAAAGTAACTTTTTGGCTTGGTTGTCATCTTATACAAATAGTAGACAGATCTATGTCAAAGTTGGTAATTATTGTAAATTTAAACTAGAAAGTGCTGATCTAGGTGTACCCCAAGGATCAATATTAGAACCTCTAATTTTTCTGTCACATAAATGATATTCTTAATCATATTAACTACGAAAACATAATTTTGTTTAGTATTGTAATTATGACTGTCTGTCATATTTTGAAACAACTGTATGTTGTTTTTTATGTATTTAAGGTTCTCATATACTATTAGGAATAAAATAATGGTAATTTTTAATGTTGGAGATAGCTTCTCAGTGTTTAGCAATTTTACATCAAACAATATATTTCACTGCAGATGTTTGTAAAATAAATGCCCTTTGCGGATGAACCTGGACAGAGCATTTATCTATATACTAAACATGAATACAAATGTTTAATTTTTGATAGAAAAACATGTTTTAGCAAATTTCTTCCTCAAATATATACCAAGTTTCACCTGACTAGATTGTTCAGATGAAAAATGAAGGTTGGAGTTAAGGATTTCAGTTTATAGACTAAATATCTAGTTTTTGAACTGTTATTTTTTCATTTCAGTGATTTTAGTTTTTTTTGTGTCATTGGCATCAGCTGCTATGACTATTAGCTTCGTGTTCTGTGAAGGCTTTGTTAGTGTTTCCCAACGTCACTAAAATATATTCTTAAAGTAGATAACAGTTTAGTTAAATAATCAATTAGTAATCAATTCTGTAAAACAATAAATGAAAATAGAGGTAAATTTTAATTTTATTAATTTATTTGTATTATTTTTAAGAAGTTATTCATCTACACCCACATGGATGTTAGCTTATCTATGCACCAACTACAAAGTGAAAAAGTATGCTTTTGCGTTCAACTGGACATATATATTTCATATCCATTTTAGGTAGTGAGAACACTGCAAAAAAATGAAATCCACCAATCACAGTTCATATTTAGGACACCCAACTACTATTATTTTTAAAATTTTAAATAAGTGGCAATGCTATCAAACTAATTGTCAGTATATTTTTTAGTTATTGAGATTAAATTAACATTAAAATGAGCTATTTTTGTGTAGAATCGATAAATAATAGCATTTTTATTTGGTCCACATTTGGAAATAAAAATAAATATTAATTAAACTATATGAAACTAATTTAATTACAAGTATTAACACTGAAATCCTAAAAGTGGTGGTTGAGGTGAGGACAGAGCCTTTGCCTTCCACGCGAAAAGCGAGGGTTCGAATTTTGGCTGTTGACTAATAAAATTAATCTTTTTTTTTTCAGGTTTATTTTATTTTATAAATTTGTAGATTTTTATTAGCGAGTCGTAGAAAAAATATACTGTACAACTCAGGTGGATTATCCATATCGGACTCAGATGATTGAGCACTCCGACGGCGTCGTGCTCAAACTTCGTCTTTGTGCAAAATCCACTATTGTTGTCCAAACTACTATACTGCAATATTTACAATAAAACATAATATAGTTTCATACCTATAAACTTCTTTATGACCTTAAAACAATATATTTATATTAAAAAAAACTCAAAACTTTTATTTTAAAATCAATGACAAAATGGTTTGTTTTTGTTTGACTCACTGACATCATGCTAATGTAGCTTATAGCTCAATTTACACCTAATAGTCTTTTCACCTGTGATGTCATAGTTTTACCAGAAGCATACTTAAAATTTTTTTTAGAAAATGGCTTGATGTAAATTGTTAAAATGTTGCCAACTGTAGTTACTGAATGGAGCAATAAAGTTCCTTGCATGAAATGATGAACATAAAGAGTGTTAGTTAACCTTTCATATAGTAAAAATATACTTACGGGTTGAATCCTCCCATCCTTCCACCTTTCTTGCCAGATTTATGATTTTCCAGATAAGTCTGTGGCAAAGAAGGATTATTCTTATTACACAAAATATCCTGTGGCATTGGTAGAGGGGCTGCCATTTTCTTATCAGGTTCTTCAGGATGGGGTCCAATGTCTTCACCTCTCAACCACATTTCATATCTAAACAAAATGCAACACATAAATAGTGATGAAACTCGTTAAACAATTTAAAGTTAATAGAGAAGTGAATAAGTTTTTTTACCTATCTGGTTGAAACCTCTTAACGAATGTATCCATAGAAATCTTAACCATATCCTTACTGCAAGTACACTGTGATGCTCTTTTTCCATATTCTATCCACCTCTCTTGTGCAAAATTGGTAGATTCTGCACAGTTGAAACCATGGTTAAAACCAGCATGGTAACCATATGGAAAGGTAATCATTATTTCACCTGCCTCTTGGGTTATCTAAAATAAAAAGTAACAAGTAATAGAGGGAAACTTGATTGAAACTGAATAAAAAAATACTATTGGAATTGTTAAAAAAAAAAAAAATAATTTCAATTGAATAATTTATATATTATTTTTTAATATTGACAATAAATTGATTTGCAGAAATATAATATGCAATCAACCTTCATTCTTAAAACTTAATTTCACTATAATACTAGATACCATTTGTTGGAAAATAAAACATACCATTACTATTGTGTTCATGTTAGAGGTAAATAAAAAGCACATTTAAAATAACTATTGAAATTAATTACAGTAATAACATGATTAATTACAACAATAAACAAATTATAAATTAATCATAGTTAAATAAGTTAGCACCTAGGTGTGGGCACCTGTATGTGCTAGACAGACTGAAAAACGAATACATAAAGATTAAAAAACTAAAATATAAAGTTAATGTATTTTTATATAAATGTTAAATGTAATAAGGCAGCAATGTTATATTATATAATATGTAATAATGTTATAATTTAATAATTTCAGGTAACTGATTATTTTGCCAAATTAGAATGTTTTAGAAGTAAATTCTGAAGTAGAGGAAATGAATTGTTTAGTTGTCTTATTTAGTCAAATTGATTTTGACCCTAACTTTTAATCCTTTCCCTAATCAAAAAATAGTAGAATGCTTTTACTTTACATCTACTTACCTTATTATATGGGATGGAATACTGCTTCAAAATCTGTGGAGATATTAATGTCATTTTGTGTCTCAAGAATGCCTGACAAGTCTTGTATGAACTTGGGAAAAATCCATTGGCCAATCTTTCCAAACGTCTGCCATGTTCAGGTGGAATAGAATACCTACAGAATTGTATAAGATAAATATTTCTAAAAAAATTAATAAAAGATGCAATTCTCATCTTTTTCTTTATGAGACTTTTAGGAAGTCAGCCATGATATTTGGAATTGCCCACTAAATATAAAAGTTTTTGTTCCGATACGAATTGTAAATAACCTGATAAAAATTATACCACATAAATAAACTATTTAAAAATAAGAAAAGCTATTTGCACCCAAACAAAATAAAATATAAAGTAAATATTTATAGATTTGTGGTTTTTCAGAAATTATTACACATATGAAACATTTATTTAATAGATAAGCTATCTATTTACACTTATGTAACATTTAATATCTCATTTTTAAGTTAAAATACCCCAGAAAAGTGGTTGTCAAAACACCCATATCTTATTTTTAAGGTATGTAATTTTATTTACCATGTTTTTGGGGCTCCAAAATGTAGATAGTTAATAGAGTATAAATCCATGTCTTCAGTGTGCCAAGCAAATGTAGTTTTCCACATACCAAAGTACAAATATGCAGTATTAACTCCATCAATTGATATACCATAATCTTCATTTACATAGTCCAAAATTGTACCCAATCTGTTTATATTCCATTCCTGTAAATTATTGAATATAATTATATAAGAGAATAAAAAAAGCATAAAAACATTACCTTTATTCTTGGCAATCTTTTTACAGGCATTGCTTATAGTGTTGCCAGCATATTACAGTTGCATTACATTTATTACTTATTGGGCCATGGTAATACCCCTTTTATAAAAATGTTACATTTGAGTTATAGATAGTATAGTTGCTCAGAACTTGAATACATCATTGATGAACTTCAGAGGTAGGACCTTTTTTTAGCTCACCCAGAGATAAGATAAAATACAAAAACAAAGTTTGATCAACAATGTCATGTATTAAGTTTTTGTCTTATTTGCTATGTTTCAATAAATTATATATTACAAACTTCATCCTGGCAACACTAATTCTTATTATTTAAGGTAAAAATTTAAATATCACTTACATTAACATCGTCATCAGTGATGCTACCAGAAACATCTGCTCCATAAATAGGAGCAACATAGGTAATATTTTTCCAATACTTCCTTTCCAAATCTTCGTAATCAAAATGTTTAGGGGCTGCATACCGTTCAGAGTTTGCTAGGTCCCTATATTGCTTCACAGTCATAGATTTTTTCTGTATGTTTATTTGTTGATATAAGCCTTGTTTTCCAGTCACAACCTGGCAAATTGGAGCTGGAATGGTCACCTCTAAATCGTCAACGTTATAACCCGATTTGCGGGGGACCCATTCTGGAGGAGGAATAACCTAAAATATCAGGTAGGTGTAAATTAGGTTTAAAAAAGAAATAATAAAATTTTTAAATTACCTTTGCTAAGCCGGCTTTGTGAGCCATTTTTGATTCCATATGCTTAACATAGCTAGAAAAATCTTTGAATTCATCCCAAGTTGGTCGGAAAACCATTATTCTGAAAAGTAAAATAAATAATAGCTTTCACATTGTTACAAAATAATCAATTTTACTCACTTTGGGATCCTGGGATTATTCGGTTCAGCCATTTTAACGTCTATTATTTAAATTTTTTAAAACAACTCGCTGAAATTGTTTAAACACCGTATAACATTTACATGTTATTTATTTCAAAATATTGTGTTCATAATTTTTCAGGCGGCCATGATTGACACACTAAATATCACGTATTTATGATTTCATCTCTTGGTTTAATGCCGAGGATTTTAAAATAAACAGGAAATTATGCTGTGCAGATATCACTTAATTATACACAAAAATAATACGTCACAACGATTCACTTCATATTTTAACATAGTTTCGGAATAAATAACACTTGCCTTCACCTACAACAACGTTAACGATACGATCCTCCATCAATGGGATGAAGGAAGACTGCTGTCACTTGGTGCACATGCGTCAAAATAGGAAAGACCGGGACCGATTAATCGAAAAATCGATCTTCAACTCATCAGTAAAAACCGTTGTACGGTTCTGTTCAAATAATTATTCGGGACTACTGGCCAATACCTTTATATAATACTCACGAAATGCATAGATAAATTAATAAAAACACCAGATGTTTATTCTTCAATATATTTGACGCATTTGAATATCCACATCGAATGCATCTGATGCCGCGTTTGAAAATCCACATCCGATGCATTTTTTACATCTCGAGCGTTTGTTTAACCACATCCGACACATCTACATCTGCGTTTGTTTATCCCAGATTTTTACATCTCGATTTGAAATGAGATGTGAATGATGCCGCGTTTGAGAATCCACATCGGATGCATCTGAGATGTAGTAAATATTTGATCACGTGATTCAGTATACGTAAATGTAATGGGACAGATGTGTACAAATAAAGTCTAGAGCGTTTGTTTATTACATCTACATTCAGATCTAATTCTCTATCACGTGATAAAAAATTCACAACATCTCAGATGCATCCGATGTGGATTCTCAAACGCGGCAATCATAGCAAATTCATTAAAAAAAATCTGTTGCCAACAACCGGCGCAGACATATCTAGCTACGCCACTGGTTGGTCGTGATTTTCACGAGTCACGAGTACGATTTTTTCGAATCGATTCATTTGTATTCGATTCGTTGGATTAATACATGTAAACAAACAAGCAAATGTCAAAACAAGGCTGTAGGTGGCCTGGGGACCTATTTTCAAACCGTGTGAGTACTCATTTCTCTCAAGATTCTCATCAGAAATGTCATACGCCAATGTGGAAACGCTGTTTTTAAAGGCCTCGAGGATTAAAATTCTTAGGAGGATATTAATTATCTCTAAATAAACCGTGAGAAACAATCAGTGAGTTTACACTGGCCCTTAGGACCCTAAAAATACTGTTTTACGTTGACGTATGACATTTCTCTCGAGAGAAATGAATTCTCTCGACTTTGAAAATAGCACCCCAGGGGGTCGATTCTCGACTTTTTTCCTATAGGAATTTGGTTGTTTTTCCTATAGGAAAGTAGGTTACGTATTCTGGAGTCAAGTTGTAGGAATATTTTCTTAAGCAGTTATAGGAAACGAATTCCCATCCTCATGAGACAGGGAATTTAATTTTCCTACAAGATTTTGTAATCGGGCTTGCGCAATAGTAGCTTGTTTAATGTGGTTATTGATTTATGCTTACTTTTTAGGCGATTCCAAACTCATTTAAAAAGAAACATACTACAATATATTATTAAAAGTTAATTTTAATTTGAGTAAAATTATCCTATTTGAAATGTCTTTAAGTCAATAAATAAAGTAAACCAAAATCCATAAATTATTTATGAAAATTTACCAAAGAAACTAGTTAGGTACTTTTGAGTCTTGTTTGAAATTCGCACATCAGGATTCCTCGACGGAGCCCAAACCAAGTTATAATGATGTATGATGTGAATTTTACTATAATTTGGTAAATATTGAAAGTATTCCTATATTTTTGTATTTCAAATTAGAAATTAGAGGATACAAGCATTAACCTTTTGGTGTAGGAAAAACATTTGTACTAGTTACTTTCTTTAGTTTCTACTTATAAATATAAATAACGGCAGGGCCGCCGAGAGCCAAGCCGGGTCCCAGGACAATTCTCTAGATCGGGCCCCGTGACAAAAAAAAACAGCTCTTCAAACGAAAACTTTTCCTCCTCTACTTGGATTCAATTTTCTAAAAAAAAAAGCTTCCGAACCTAAAACTTCCCCCTCTCGTCTTGTGTCGAATTTCTTTTCTCATACAAAACAAAACAAAAATTCCAGTTGCCGGGCCCCCTTATACCGCTGCCGGGCCCCCATTTGAGTCCGAGCTCCGGGAATTAGTCCCATCTACCCCCCCCCCCTCAAGTCGGCCCTGAATAACGGTAATCACAATGGTAGTCCTTCTGAAACTTTTTCGTTTTCTCTTTTTGCTGCTAATAAAAAATATTAAAAATAAATAACCAGTACATCGAGAAAATCAAATATTTTTGACAAATTGCCTTGTTGCCAACTGTTAAGCAACTATATTTAACTGAAATAAATACATTCCATTGGCTCGTTTCTGCGTTATCTTGAAATTATCAACGACATGCTGAAATTGGAACTCCTACAGGAAATTGGATTCCTATTGTACTCGAGAATACCGACAACTAAAACTGTAGGAATATTATCATAGGAATTCATTTTCCTCGGAATCAAATTCCTACAACTCGAGAATCGACCCCCAGGTGGGTAGGGATGTTGCGATACCAGTAAAGTATCGATACTGGTATCGAAAGGAGTATCGGAACCAAAGTATCGATACCGGTATCGAAAGGGTATCGGAACGAAAGTATCGATACCTATATCGGCAAGAGTTCAGAACAAAAAAAAAAAAAAAAAAAAAAAAAAAGGTCATAGGGTTCACGCCGACATATCATACCATAAAGTGATCCTACAATATACATTTTGTAGTAAAATTATTGAAACGAAAGTAGTAGTATCGAAACAAAAGTAGTACCCATATGAGTAAAGTATCGAAAGCAAAGTATCGGGTACTAAATTACCCGGTATCGAAAGAAAAGTATCGATACCAGTATCATATCAGTAGTATCGCAACATCCCTACAGGTGGGGCGGTTTAACAATTAATTGATTTCGGTTCCCTTCGCTTGCTTTTCATATCAAATTGAAGCAAGATGCACGATTTAAATATTTTCATATCCGCTGGAGCCCCAAATATGTACCAACATCGTAAAATTTGATTTGGTTGGTAGGTACATCATGGATCATTTAGTATAGGGACTCCCAAAAAACATTGTTTTCGAAATACAAGATTGGGTGTCCTAAACTAATTCATAACGGAATAGAGATATTTGATTGAAAATTTCTAAGAGGAATTTTCGAGGCGGTCTATCGATATAAAATAGTGGATAATCCAGCCACCCAGACAACACACCAAATCCCAGAGATATCCACAGAATATCTTCTGTGGATATCCAATATATCCACAGGATATCAAAAATATCCCGTGGATCTAATATGGATATCCAAATGTCCGTCTATATCCAGAATATAGAAGATATATGGATTATCCAGCAAAATATCTAATGGGTATCTTCCAGACAATACATGAAATCCCAGAGATCCACAGAATATATTTTGTGGATATCCAATATATCCAGTGGATCTAATATGGATATGCAAATGTCCGTCTATATCCCAGGATATAGAAGATATTCGGATATATTCAGCAAAATATATTATGGGTATCTTTAGTATAGAGGTTCACAAGTAACCAATGATTATTGAATAACGTCGAAAGAAAATAGCAGAGATAAAAAATATTTTCAACACTCTGCCTTTCCTTTGATTTTGCCCACTAAGGAGAAAGTCATCCTTATTAGGCCTCTTCATCAATAAATGGAAATTCTCGACTCCAGTCTCTAATGGAGTCTGATTGAGAAACCAATTTCGATCGAACTCAATTACGGCGGGTTGAGCATGAGTAGGAGCGAAAGTGGTATCGCCATCTATACTTAGTAAGCAAAATCAAAAATTACATCTAGTGGATATCCACCATGGTTTGCGTTCGCGCCTAGACTTTGATATATTTAGTGGATGTCCATGGGATAATGAATACACCTTAAAAAAATCAATTTTAAATATCTGAACGGTACTATTAGTCACAATGGCGAGCACAATGGCGTAATTTTTTAATAATTTGCTATATAATTACTATTATTTATGGACATTTGCATGTCTATAAATTACATCTCATGGATATAAAATAGATATCCACCATGGACTGGACATTCAGTGGATATTGGGATGTCCAGTAGATATTCAAAGGATTTGGTGTGCTGTCTGGGCAGTTATATGATCCCATACTTGTTAATTTAAAATTGAACACCCTCTATATTTTTATAATACGAACTGATTTCAACGGCGGAACGTATTTATCACACTTGATGTCCATTATATGTCCCAGACTAATTATTCCAGGTTCCAGGCTACATATCTCATAAATAAATAGAGATATTAGAGTGAGACAGAAACTAAAATCCACCAGTCAGTGTGTCCTACACAATATATATTGTAACCATTATTTAATTTATTTACAGTTTATTTATTTAAAACGCTTTATTTACTATTTATTTATAACATATACTAATTAATTTATATAATACTTGGGCACTATTATAACTCACAATTCTAATTTATTTATTACAATTTATCTTTTTCATAAAACACTTAAATTAAAACTTGTAGTCTGTCAACAAGTCGCGCTATTTATATAGAAATGTAACATTCTGGAAAGAACCAATAATTCTGACTAGAAGTAGAAGCTCAGCCTAGAAGTTCGGGGAATTATTCTCCACATGTCAGACTGCGATGGAAAACATTCGATTCTGTTTCTCGAGTCTCGCGATGGGTCTCGATGTGTCGCGGGTACGATAATAAACAAAGAACAGGGTTGGCTTCGTGTCACAATATGCATAAAAATATTCATAAGCCAAGAACTTGTATGGATTCTCTTCTTCTTTTAAAAGAAATTTTGGTCAAAGCGAGGTTGCTTGAAATCATTACTGCTTCGAAGAACGTCTAAAAAGTATATTTCCATATGTATCATTCCTTTGGATTTTTTACATTTTGAGTATACTCATTTTAGGCTAATTTTATGCCAACATAAAAAATTCCACTTCTTTCTTTGTATTAAAAAAAATAAATTTTGATTACGTCATAATTTTAGGCGAATTTTATAGCAACCTAAAAAAAAAATACGTGTGGCACTCGGGGACTGCCGCGGTAAAGCTATTGCATACCTTTTTTATCAACTTATGCAATTATAATTATTTATTTTATTTATGCAGTATTTTTTTTTTCTTTGATATTAATTCAAGTTACACTTTTTGAGCGTGGTGACCGATAAGAAAACAATTTTTTTTCTTTTATTGAATAAATATTGTTTAAAATATTTTTTTTATCTTACAATACATGAAACTATAAGTTTATGGTAACTGAAATAAGAAACATAAGTTTAAGACTTGATATATGCTCTAAATATCTGGAAAATAC